ATCAGTAGGTATTCAATGAGTATCTCCTAACTGTGATGATCTCTGTTCACAAGGGGCTACCAGTAAACCCTGAACCAATGTAAGGGAGCATTATTATTCAAAATAAGCTACTTCACTTGAAAACATAATAGGATTATCTGGGATGGAGAAAATAGACTCCCTAGCAACTCAGGGTGAGGCACCGGCAGGCAGACAAAGATTACACAAGTGGAGTGTTCCTGACTTGAATATTGCTGAAGGTGTAATTTTATTTTTCAAGCAAGCTCTTCCAAAACAGCTCATTACATTTTTTTAAAAGATTTATGAATTTAAGGAATTTATTCAAAGTCTTTTCCTTAGGAGCCCCACTCAGTAAAATCTCAGAAATAACCCTCAGCTGAGGCAATATTTCCTAGTGAGAACTAGGAAGTCTAAGAAATTCCAGGGACAGAAGAGAAGGCCTGAAATTAAAATTAACAATATAAATGAACATAAAAAGCCATGAGAAGGCGGTACAAAAGGGAAAGAAAGGAAACCCCTGGTATTAATGTGACTCCCCCTTAATCAGATTATCAGAAAGAGGAATACAAGAAGTACAGTAAAAGAAAGTATGTAATAGGAATAGGGCAGATTTCCAAGATGACCCCCTAACAGTGTCATATGCAATGTTTACATGCTCCTATATAATTTCTCTGCATTCGGCAATGAGCACTAATAATTCCCTTCTGGTGATCCATTTGCTCTCCCTGATGTTTACACAACATTTGGGACTTAAATATGCAACAAAAGAAATGAACTAAGAAAAAAGAGAAGAGTATAGGTAAAGTAAATAAAACTGTAGGTTTATGCAAACAAGTATTTCACAAATATGGTATACATGTGTGGTTTTATTGCACTGTCAGTCAACCCCTCTCCCCATCTCCCACACACACTGGGGATGAACATTATTTTAGCTAAACTCAAAGTGTCTTGTTTATTATCTTTACCTGTCCTTACGCAAATTATTCTCCTCTTGAGTTCCAAATTGGTCTCACCATTAGATTGTGCAAACCTGAAACAATCAATACAGCTTATTATCTACATGAACTTTATAATTTGGCTGCCTTCATTAAAATGACTTTATTCCACTGTCTTCATCAACACAACTTCACTATTCCAGGAAGTCCTGGCCCAGGGAGATAGAAAGAAAAAACACCATTTCTTCTCAGCACTCTTTGTGAAACCCTCACCTCAAAACCTTTTCCTTGCTGTGTTCACCAATTGTAAACCATTGTATCATAAACATTACACAATTCTAATCAAGTCCTCAAACTGAAAGATCCATCTTAAACCATACTCCAAAACCTCATAAATAGCCCAACTTTTCCCTTTCCAAGATGCTATTAAAACTTTATCAAGGTAGAGAACTCCCTTACCTTGGTAAGCCACAAACTGAGTTTTGCCTTATCAACTGGTTACTTTGCTGGTATTTTTAGGAAGTAAGCATTTAAGAAACACAAGCCTTCTTGGATGGATATCTTCTTTCTTAGTTTGGTAATTACAATAGTGTGTGCGTGTGTGTGTGTGTGTGTGTGTGTGTGCGCGCGCGCGCGCACGTGCAATTTGATCCTTAATAAGAAAGGTTCTTATATCTACTACTAATATAGCTGCTGCCTTGTGCTGGACTGTTTGCTCTATCATTACATTTATGCCTTACCCTATCGAACTTCCCCTAAGCTTTCTTCATAATAATGTGTTCTCCATGTGCTTTCCTTTTGTTCTTCTGGTATGCAATGAAAGGGCTCAGGTGTGCCATACATCTAAAAGACTACAACCGTGAACCTACGGCCACTAGGCAACAATCCACTAAATATGATCCCAGTCCTCCCAAAGACCCTTCTACTAATTCTCAAATCTCTCTCTGGTCACACTGATTACCCTGGTTCCAGGGGTTCTACCCGTTTATAGAAGAGCCTGGCCAGCCCAGTAAGGTCAGTGTTGGCTTCACATGAACTGCTACACCTCTGAAAACATGGTTAACTGGACAACTTCTTAACCCCTGAGGTCAAAAATCATTAATGCCATTCTGTTGTTATAAAAGCAAGAAGAATCATTCTGGAGATACAGCAATGAATCATTTAAAGCAAACAAACAAACAAAACGTGAGGACAAAGTAGAAACAAAGATTGACATCATTGCTGGGCTAACTTTCCAGAATGGTAGAAGATACTGATTTTTTAAAATGACACAACAAATGAAAAGAATTAAAAGCAATACATACAATGAACATTTTTCTTGCACTTTGTCTCACGCCTTTTTTTACCTTTTTATTTTTATTTTTTTTAAAAAGTTAGTGTCCCCTAAAAAATTTAAAAATTTGAAGAAATAAAGCTAGTGTCTCTCACATTCTGAAATGATGTAACTAAGGAAAGGCCACATGAAAATTTTTTTTTAAAAAAGAAAATGGACAGAATAACAAGTAATAGCTGCATTTCTACTATGGTTTTATGTCTGTTCATTTCTGTATCACTTCTCCCAAGAAAACTGGGGAACAGTTTCAGAAAGAGACCGATAAGAATAAGAGGATTTTTATTAAAGACTACTAATATAACCCACTTGGCAGACGGTAGTAAACGCCAAATGTTTTTTATTGTATATTCCCCCATCAGATAATTTAGCATGTTTCATATATACACATGTATAAATTTTATATGTCCTTTTATACTGATATAATTTATAAAATATATAAGGTACACAAAATAGAAATATTAAAAATGCTAAGATTAAAAATATAGAAATAGAAGCCCTAATTTTTTGTTTTTAACTCAAAAGATTTTTCTGCACTCCCTGGATGAGTTCTAGACTGAACCACAGACTCAGACCTTTGAAGGTATTTTTTGCATTCCTTAAGAAAAGTTAGAATAAATAGAAGACTTGGGCCTTTGAAGTTTATTTACCATTTTAAAACAATTCAATTTTAATCTATCACTTAATGTATGCATATTTGAATGGCTAGATTTATGCAATTATAGTGAAGTGCTTTCCCTTGTCTTAATAGCAACTGTGGAGAAAAAGTGCATTTGTTTTAATATTTGATAAACTGGGCCCGGGATTGAGTTTAAAAAAATAATAAATCAAAAGAAATGTTTTACTTTGTATGTACTAATAATTAGTTATTATTGATTGCAACTAAGTAGGCTTTACACAGGTATGATAAATTATCACATCATTTCAACTAGCTTATACACTTCTTAAAGAAAGAATGCATCTTATAACCCTTTATTTTCCCAGTATAGGCAGAGCATCTTGTATGCAGCAGGTGCTCACAAAAATGTTTATGTTATTATTTCTTCATTGTGCTTGCTCAAGTACTTGGGCAACTAGCCCTATCTCTGTTTTGCCACAGGGTTGATGAGCCTAGTACCTGACACTTCTGTCCCTAGGATGACAACTTCCACCCACCGACTTCTGACAGTTGCCAAAGGAAGTCTGCAAATAAACAACATACTAGCAAAGCTTTTTAAAAAAATAATAATTAATAAATAGTACTTTGATCTTATGCAAGTGATATCACTGTAACAATTTTTCTTCTCACCAAACTCTAATTTCTCTCTTACCTAATTCACAGACGGCTTAGCTATCACAGATTTTAACATAAGAAGTTGAAATAAGTAAGGGGAGAGAGTGGGGAAGAGGCTGCCTCAGAAATGCAGGATCTGCCTTGGCATGTTTATTGTCCAAAAGAAGAAAAATAAATTCCCAGAAAGCCTTTAATCTGGGGAGGATCTGAACTCCTTACAGATTAACACTGTTCTCTAGTTTCTGCCTATATATGAATTTTCGGGGAAGGGGGAAAAGAGGGAGGTAATCGGTATAATTTGCCTCTAAGACGCTTTCTAATTCCAAGCATGATTCATATCACGTGTTCTCACTTATTTGTGGGAGCTAAAAATAAATAAGTAAATATACAAACAAACGGTGGGGGAGGGGCGGGGAAGAAGACAGGGAAATCACAATTCCTCGAACTAGTTATGACAAGTGAACAGATATGATGTTGATGGATGGGAGGGGGGGAGGAGAGAAAGGAATCAGCAAAGCGACACGAAAATCAACTACATTGTATATTGATAAATTAAAATTTTAAAATTAATAATTTTTTTTTAAATGGAGAAAATGTAGAGCCCAACTCACCAAAGTTCTGAACCCCCTCCACCCTCCCTACCACCAAAGAACGAGAGAGAGAGAGAGAGAGAGAGAGAGAGAGACAGAGAGAGAGAGAGAGAGAGAGAGAGAGACAGAGAGAGAGAGAGAGACAGAGAAAGAAACAGAAAAATCCTGGCCCTCTATGTCATTCTCCACGTCTGGGATGTCCTAATTCTGCAAAGACAAAAAAAGCCAGCACTGGGGTGCACCTACTAGTACGAGCAAAGGTATATTCTCAACGTGAGACCCCACGGTAGCCAGAGCAACGCACCACTTCTTGCCCACACCCCAACCCGACCCAACTGGCCTCAAGTCATCTTAGAAATTCTGGGGGGACTTCGAATCTCTGTCCTTGGCGCTGAGTAAACTAACCAAGGCCAGCAGACGGGCCAGGGAAAGAGATCGAAAAAGCGTTCCAGGCCCCGTGGCAGCACTTCACAGGCAGGGCAACGCTGGGGCGGGCGGGCGTGGAGTCTCCTGGTTGCTCTCTGTGACTGGGACACAGCTGGCTTTGGAAGAGCACATTAAATATACAGCACCAGAGCTTGGTCTCGGGCCCGGCCTCCGGTCGGTGGCACTCGGCCATTCGTCTCCGCCAGCCAGGCCCTGGCCCTGGTTGCCGCGACGCAGAGAACGCCCAGCAGCTCGCAGTCACACCTGTTAGGTGTTTCCCCGCCAGGCCTCCGCCGCAGTTAGCGCCCCCCGCACGCCCGGGGACCCGGCTGCGGAGCGGGCGAAGCGGGCCGGCGAAGCAGGGCCGGACTCAGTGCGGAGGGCCAGGGCTGGACGAGGAGGGGGGCCTGCGAAGGCGGGAGGGGTCGAGGCAGGCGGAGAGGGGCATGGGGAGGGCCGGGGGAAGGGCCGTCGCTGCTCGCGTTACGCTTCCAGAGCCTGCGGCAGAGGCGGCGGGTCTGAGCCGCGGCGGGGATGGAGCCGGTGCCAGCCTCTGCATCTCTCCTCGCAGCCCGGGCGTCGCCTCTCCTCGCCGAGCCGCAGCGCCCCTCAGGCCGCGCAGGGTGAGCGCGGGCGCGGGTCAGCGGCACCTCTCCCGGGACTGG